TGCCCTTGACCGGAATCGAGTCCCCAAGCCGATGCTCTATCCATTGAGCCAAACCGGTTTCGGCCTAAGTGGACTTTTAAAATTTATTTTATAAGTGCTGAAGTTTCAGTTTGCTTGTTCCACTTAAGAATACTTAGAAGTTCTTATTAGAAAAATGATGCCATAGAATAAGACACAAAGAAGAAAGATAAGTGAATCTGTATTCATACAAGTTAAACTAGAGAGTAGTCAGTTTGGATGAATACATCCATTAGTTCAGTGAATAGATATTGAGTTATTACTATTTTTTAGCCCTTTTCTAGTTGCTAGAAACCCAGTGGACAAGCGATGTCCTTGCATTCTTGTAGTTTATATTCTAGGTGGGCGGTGGAGGGTTGGGAGAGCCAAAACACACAAGCAAATAAATCAATTAAATAAATTCAGGTTTATAAGGGACATAAGGAAAAATAAAACAAGATAGATGTGCAAAGAGTGAACAGATGGGTTGAGGGCAGAAGGGCATCAGTAAATGACTCCCTGAGAATATCATACTTGAGCAGACTTCTTGCTAAGGTAATTAAATGACTTATGTAATGATACTAGAAACCCAACATGCAAAATCACGCAGCCCCGCCCACTTGTGCTGGGCTTTGGTTGTTATGGTGTGAGGGCCACAGGCCTTTTATAATATAGATTGAGTGTTCCATGTAGAAAAGCTTCACATTGGTCATCTGCAAAACTACTGTTTTGCACATTAGCTGCTTTTAAATACTAGTATCATATGATCTATAAAGTATAGTGACTGTTTGCTTGTTTGGAAGAAAATAGCTTTTATTCTTGTTGAATTTAAGAAAGTGTGTGGTGGCATATATCTTATATCATTTAGAGTCAATCTTTGTAGACCTAGAAGTTATCCTACATAACAGCACAAGGTCAGTTTTACTCTATTTATTGTGATTTCATCTTTCCAAATGAGAGCATATGCATATCCTGGTTCATTTATGTAAAAATCAGAAATAGCTCATCTTGAGATTATACATTTCTGAATTTTTCTTCAGGCATTGATATACTTCATTAGTATAATTTAAAATTCTTGTAATAAACATTTGGTGTAGGGTATGATAAAATAAGTTATAATTCTGATAGAGGACATTGAATGTTTTATAAATAGTAGCAAAATTCTAAATTAAAATGTAATTAAAAGCAGTTAATATTGTTATATGCTATCATATACAGTGGTGGGCAAAAGTAGGTATATAGTTGTGAGTACATGAAATGTGTTATTTATTAATTATCATTTGTTTGTATTAATTTCATACTGGCAACTAGAACCCTAGATTTGCTCATCCTTATGTATTATCATATATGTATGTAATATATGCTATCCTTTATATTATATTACTATATATTGTAACCAAGGACTCCTAACATCTCTCCAACATAAACAACTGACCTCATATTTAAAATGTTGGTGAGCATGGAGAATGACAATCAAGGATTCCAATATTCAATAAGCTAATTTTATTTCATGATGGTCTACATTTTCACCAGGCCATGAGATTTCTTTTTCTAGGTCAATTTACTTCAAGAGTCAATTTACTATAAGAGTCAACTTAGCATGGATTTTTATATTTTTAATCCTGAGGATTCATAATGATTATATATTTAAAGTGTTTAAATAAATATTTTAGTTAAATTAAAAATTTAAAAACAAAATAGAAATATTCTAAGTAATTTGTGAAATCTCAAGAAATGTATCCATAGTGGTAAAAAATGATGTCCCTTAATAACTTCCCATTCTCTTTTGAAACTTTTTGACACAATAAAACTGTGTTTTGTTGTTATTTTTTCAGTACAAAGGCATAATTTACAAATTAAAACAAAAATTATTTACAAATATAAATACATATAAATATATGCATATATTTGATATATGTATACATCTTGCTAATTATCATTCACTTTAAAACTTTTGACAGATTATTTTGCTCATTGTAGAGTAAAAAAAGGTACAAACATCTCAAACTTGATAAATTCCAATTCTCTCTTACTGGTGTAAAAGCAGTTATAATGTACAAACTGAACTCCTCTGTAAAATCCATCTTAAAAGAATTCTAACACATACAATACTCTTGCGGGAGGAGGAGGCTGTCATTCTATTGTGTGACAGCACTAGAAAGAGAACCATCATATCCAAAGCAGGGAAAAAGTGTGTGCTATTTTTACACAACTTTTAAAACAGCATTAAATGAATGACTTGCATGTAAAGCATTCGTTTCTTAAAAAGTATTTCAAAACATAAAGTTTATATGTTAAAACATTTTTTCCATGAAGTGAAGATGAATACAAAGCTTAATGATAAAGAAAATAAAGCTGGATAGATGCCATCTTTTTTTTTATTAAAGATATGTTTTTATTGATTTCAGAAAGAAGAAAGGAGAGGGAGACATAGATAGAAACATCACTTATGAGAGAGAATCATTGATCAGCTGCCTCCCGCATACCCCCTACTGGGGATTCTGCCTGCTACCCAGTCATGTGGCCTAAACCAGAATCGAACCATGACCTCCTGGTTCATGGGTTGTCACAGAACCACTGAGCCACAACAGCCAGGCAGATAGATGCCATCTTTTGGCAATTTATTATATTCATCATCTGATGATTCATAAGGGGTCAGGTAATTTGTAGATTTAGAGACATTGATAATATATAGAGAGACAAGAATTGTCTTAAAACTATAAATGAAGATATTTAAAGATGCTTAATTGCATTCTAAGAAATATTTTAGAAATGAATTTACTTATTTAGTGACAACTTTGAACATTATGACTACAGTCACACTTTAAAATATTGAAAGCTCTTACAACAAAGGAGCATTTGATATTTAAAAAATAATTGATAAATAGCATCTAATCATAAACTATTTAGGAAATATAGTATTACCTGGGGGGGGGGGGGTTGTACTTGAAGATGACATTATTTACCCAAGTGGCCAGAGTTTGCATTTTGAGTGCTTTTCTCCCAGGACTGGAATAAGTGCAAACTCCAGTGTGGACTAGAGAGAGCTTTTTTATCACATGAAAGTTTATGACTATCATCACAATCAAACTTGCAACCATTTAAAAAAATACCTAATGAAATTAATCTATTTGTTCCATAGTTTACAAAAAGAGTTACCTTTTTATTGTGATGATAAGAAGACTCCTGGGGTTCCTGCAAACAGTAATTTAACACAAATCCTCTGGCCTTTTTAGTCTTCTAGAATACCCACTGAAATGCTCCCTGCGTTGGAGTGCTTAGTAAAGCAGTATTAAATTTTTGTGTACATATAAATCACCTGGGAATCCTGTTATGATGAAAGATCTGGAATTTTGCAGTTCTGACAAGTTCCAAGGTAATGGTGATGGTGTTCCTCTGAGGACCACATACTGCACAGCAGACCTATGGACTACCTTATTGTAGAAGTTCTAATCGCTCTGGTAGTTATCATAAGAACAAAAACATGATCTGCTTCTTAGTATTGATCACAAATGCTGAGATACTCATGTTCAGTTGGGGCATTTTCTTGAATACAAAAATCTTAGGATAATGATTTTTTTAAAGCTCTGTGAGACCTTAGAAGTCATCAAATGCAGCTTCCTCATATCATAGTCGAGGAAGTTGAAGGTCAAGGACGTTGAATGTAAGCCCAAAGTTTCAGGGTTATCAGTGCTAGAACCCAGGATTCCTGACTACTGCTTTAATAAAGAAACCCCAACTTCTTTGGCATTTCTATTTGTTGTATTCTTCCTGACAAAGAGCCTAAGCATGAGTCAATAATGATTAGAATGTCTCCCTTTGATGCTCACAATAGTTTAAATGACAGCAGTATCTTTAGACTGACTTTCTTTACAGCTAAAACTCACAGTGGGCCACTATCTCCTATAATAACAAGAGTATTCACATATCCTCTTTCTTCTAAGTTCCCCTTGCAGTTTTATTATGGGCATTTTATTTCTTAATTTTGAGAACCTGGGGAGGAAAGTGGACAGAGAAATGAATAGGTCATTCGTTAAAAGGCAGGGGTTGAATTTGTGAAAGGTTGTGGCAAAAAAAGGCAACAAATGAGAAAGAGCGAAGGACATCAATATTGATCTTGCCTCTCATCTTTTCCTCTGCCTTCTTGCTTGCAGGTTTCTATTGTGTAGTCTTTCAAATAAAGCAGACTTTATTTATGGTGTGACTGATTTAACCCTACTGGAATAGTCCATCTTCTGCTAATTTGGTCAATTAAAAACTGGTCATAGGGAAAAGCCTGGGAATTAAGCTAATTTGGTAACACAACTTCTGATTAATTTTTATCTTGCTCATTTATATCTCCTCTTTTAAAGGACACTTTTCATGATGAGGGTTTATATCAGTGTTTTTGTGTGTGTGTGTTTTGTTTTGTTATCTAGACTCCCGAGTTCCTCTCTCTGACCACTTAAGGTTGAATCCCTGAAGAAAGTACAGTTGTGCTTTTTCTCCCTTGCTTAAGACTACTGATGAAACATTTATAGGGGATTGCCTAAGATTTCCTGCTATTCTGAATTGGAAAAGCCCCACCAAACAGCTAGAGCCATCATTTATAAAGCACTTACACATTGCGTGACCCTGTACTAACATGTTTGCATTCTCAACTAATCCTTATAACTCGGAGTTAAGTACTATTATTATCCCTGCTTATAGTTGAGGAGGCTTCAGGTTTAATCCTCTAAGTAAAATTATCAAATATTATGAAGCAAAAAGAGACAGCATGGTACATGAACCAGGGTCTGCCTGATCCTAGTAAGGACTGACACTGTCACCGACTAGTGAGATTTATGCCTAGACTAAGTCAAAACTCTGGAGAACAACAACAACAACAACAACAACAACAATATAACTTCCTCCTTTCCTTGCTTTTTCTTTCCCTGTCACACAAGTTCTTGCAGGCAGGTAGGTGTGCCAGACCCTATACTTAGCATCTCCCACGCCCTCTGCAATTTTCCCTTTTGCTGCTGGGAGCGTCAGAGAATGGCGCTGCAGCTGGTGAGTGGGCAGGTGCACCGCCATCTGCTCCAGGGAGTCCAAATGCGCAAAAGAACTTCGCACCCAGGACTTGTCCCAGGCACCGCGGATGCCAGGACCCGCTGGGGACTCGGCTAACCCCGCCCTCTCGTGGTGACGATTGGCTGAACCCTTGCCCAGTGCAAAGCGGCGATTAACGGAGACCGCAGTCTTTCCCGCAAGTTCAGACGAGGCGTCTCTCAGGACGTGAGACCCGCCCGGGGTGAGTGAATGGGGGCTTCAGTTCTTCCTGCCCGAAGGGTCCTTGAGAAGCCTGTTTGTTTTTCCCGGCGCCTGTCTCCACCCAGCCCGTCCTCTCATTGGCCAGGCCCGGTGGGCGGGCGCCTTCCCATTGGCCGGGGGGCGGTGTCTGTCTGGCCGGGAGGAGGGCGGGGCCTCCGCGGCGCTGAGCTTGCCCTTGTGTCTGGTGCGCGTTAGAGCCGCCGCCGCCGCCGCCGCCGCTGCCGCCTCAGCCGCCGCCGCCGCCGCCGCCGCTGCAGCCGGAGCATCCGGGAGCCGCCGCCGCTACAGCTGCTTCCACTGCTGCCGTCCCCCCTCCCAGGACCCCGAGACACCCCGAGCGCGTGCGGCGGCTGCTGCTTGCATGCACCCCGTCTCCCCCTGCCCCTCCCTCCCGTGACCTCCCCACTCCTCGCAGCCCTCGTCCGCACCTTTCCGACACCCCGCATCCTTGCACCACCTGCTCGGGCGGCCCCGGCGGGCGCTCGGACTCGCGGTGCGCGCCCAGAGGAAGGAAGCTCGGACCCCGCGCCTGGCAGACGGGCTGTCGCGGCTGCACCATCACCAGCAGCAGGAGGAGAGGAAACTATTTCGCCCACCGCAATCCCATTCTGCGGGTGCTTCGCCGCCGCCGCTTCTGCTTCTGCTGCCGCCGATCCGCGTCCGCGGGTTCGAACACCGCAGCAGCGGGGACCGTGGTCCGCCGGCGCCGCGAGGAGGAGGACCCCGGCGGGCGGAGAGCCCTGCACCCCGCTGCCCGCTCACCAGCAGCAGATCCTCGCCCCCGGGCTCCCTCCCCAGCCCTTCAGAGGAGGGACCATGATTTGGAAACGAAGCGCCGTCCTCCGCTTCTACAGCGTCTGCGGGCTCCTGCTGCAAGGTAACCCCCGCCCCGCCGGGGAGCATCAACTTCACGCCCATTCCCCGCCGTCCCCCCGCCGCCCCACATTTCCACTCCCCCCTTCTCGGTCCCCCGGTCCCCAGGGAGGGCCCCCTCCCCCTGCGCCCCGCGCAGCAGGGGCAGCGGCAGTTCGCCCCGGCCCCTCGGATCCCTGCCGCCGGCTCAGCCCGGCTCTCCCCCGGCTGTCAGCCCCTCCGCGGCACCTTCCGCCTTTCCGTTCACCTGCGCCCCCAGGATCCCCCTCCATCCCCCCGCCCCCGCCCCTCCCGGCGCCTTTTGGCTGCCAACTTGTGCCTTTTCCGAACGTTCCGCCCTCTCACCACCTCCCACCACCCACTCCCCACATGGCGCTCCCGACCGCCCCTCTCCATCCCCGGTCGCCTCTTTCACCTCCCTCCCGCGGGCCCTCTTTCCCCGCTCCCCACCGTCCTCACACCCTGTGTCTTTAAAAAGTGAGTGAGAGTCTGGGAGCTGAGCCGCCGAGGCGGCTGGCGAGAGGGAGAGCAGCAGCGGCAGCGGCGGCACCGTGTGCATGGCAATCACAGCCCGGGTGCGGGGGCGGGGGTGTGTGCTGAGGCTTGTCATTCAGCTGGGAAGAGAGAGGAGGCTGTGTTTGGGATAATAAATACATAAATAAATAAATAAATAAACAAGAACGAAAGAAAAGAGAAATATTAAAAAGAGAATGAATGAATGAATGAATGAATGAATAAACTGGTGGGGGGGGCGAGAAGAAGGAAAACAATTAAAAGATTCAAAGCCACTTTATCAACAAACCCACTTTTCATTATTCAGTCCATGTGATTTTCTTTTTATTTTTTTTTCTTCTTTTTTTTTTTTCTCCCAGCAAGGAAATATATGCATCCTAACAGTTACTTTCTGCTCGGGATTTTCCGCTCAGATTCCCGACCTCTCCACCGGCTCTCCGCCGCTTCCTCCGTAATTAATGCCACCCTCTCGGGTAAATTGTAGGGACCCCTCTGGCCGCAGTGGAGGGAAACTGCACCGAACGCTGTGATTATGCAGATCGCTGGGCTTGGATGCGGAGTGATGGGGACTGAGGTGCACTCTCCCCAGACGCTCCTTTGGGGGAGGGAGGGGGCTGTGTGGAGCCGGAGGACCGGCTGATGGTGAACAGGCGCGGGGTTCGGAGCAGGGTGCCCTGGGGAGCACACTTTGGGGCGGCGGCGGGGCAGAGGCGGCGTGCGGGGCGGTGGGCAGAGGCTGTAGGAGGAAGATTGCTGCTTTGAAGAGAGGAGTGCAGGGACTGTGGTGTGAGTGGGAGATTCAGGGAGAATGGATGAGAAATGATGGTGGATAGGATTTTTTTTTTTTTTAAGCTAGGTGACTCTTAATTTCTCCTTCAATCTTTTGCCCACCTCTAACCCCTCTGTCATTATTGGTGTGTGTGTGTGTGTGTGTGTGTGTGTGTGTGTGTGTGTGTAAAGATAAGTTGATCAAATGCCTGTGTCTCTGGGTGAAAGGAATGCGAAAGTAAAGCACATGTTAGACCCACAGGCGTGCAAAACCCAATCGGCCTTTCGGGGATTTAAATGAGGTCAATGAACCACCTTTCAGCAAGTTCTTGGAATGCATCCTCTCTCCTGTCCTCCGGGATGTGGACCTGGACGGTGTATTTTATTTATGCACGTTTATGGATAGATGAACGAAGAGCTAGTGGACAGGGTTTTCCTGGATTGACTAGCTGACCTTGCGGAGGCGTTCTTTAGAATGCTTTGCGGTAATCGTATGTGTTTTATGTTGGAGGCACATTTCAGATGTGTCACCTGCCGTGATCCCGGGAAGGCTGGCGGCCCCTTCTTCCTGCTCAGGCCGCCTCGTCTCACTTCCCGGCGCCCACACCCGCCGTAGGAGGAGCCCTGGTGGCTGGCTGGCACGTTACTTGGGTTTCTAATCCGGGCTGAAACCCCTCCCAGAGACCCCACTTCACCTCCCAGCAACTTGTGTTTCTCAGCTCCCCAGTGAGTGTGTGTGTGTGTGTGTGTGTGTGTGTGTGTGTGTGTGTGTGTGTGAGAGAGAGAGAGAGAGAGAGAGAGAGAGAGAGAGAGAGAGAGAGAGTGTGTGTGTCTGTGTGAGCGCGCTCCCGCGCTCGCACCACGCCGGGTAGAGGAGTGTTATGCGGGGAAATCAGTTAATTTGGCGATTGTGATGAAAATTCGACACCGCTGGATATGTTTCCCCTGCCAATCTGGGTGAGCTGGCCCCAGCACGTCATCGCACACACTGCTGGGCTGGGGCGAGGAGATTATTTATTACGGAGCGTGTGGGCAAAGGACTGCACTGGGGGTCGCCTCCTCTCTGCCTCCACGTTCCCCTGTGAATTGTCTATTCAGTGCACTCACTGTGAAATAGCTGTCCGCCGGCCCCTCTCCTTCCCAGCCCGAGGAGGATTTACTTTCTCCACCCTGAAGATTCCATCAGCTGCATATCCTCTCTCTCTCTCTCTCTCTCTCTCTCTCTCTCTCTCTCTCTCTCTCTCTCTCTCTCTCTCTCTCTCTCTCTCTCGGCATGGGTGTCTTATTAAGTATGTAAACCACTGATGAAGACAGTGTCGCTTTCACGGCCAATGGGGGTGGGGTGGAAGGCGTGTGGGGATGCCAGAGAAAATGCACCACTGCAACCAGCAGCAACCCCAGCAGCAGGTCCAAATAAATAAATAAGTGTCCGATGCAGCAACCAGGGAAGGAGCACCGGCCCAATGATATCTGTGTACTTGTGAGCATCTTAGATCAGGCCATATTAACACACCAAAAGAGACAGAGGATTTAAAGAAGAAGAAGAAGTAGAAGAAGAAGAAAAAAAAAAAAAACTATGAGGGGGAGGGGTGCAGAGCACCACTGGATTGTCTTCTCATGTTTATGGCTGCCTCACATTTATCAAACACTGCTCCACAGGCATATCACACTTTGTTGATACTGTCAGTTCTTGCTCAAACAAATTGCTCATGCCTTCCTTGTCTTAGTCTTGTCTGAAAACATTGCTCTGGGGTCCAGGCTTATGTTTCTCCCACCAACCGTCCTGTTTTATTAGGACTTGGTGAGGCTGTAAAGGGAAAGCTTTATTTCCAGGACACAGATGAAATACTTAGCAGGTCTGTGTTTTCTGAGTGCAGGGAAGGCAGGGTGGTAGAGGCAATAGTGAGCAACGGACTCCGGCTAGGGGGAGTCTGCTCTGCCTGCTAGCAGTTATGACTAGGCAAATCCTCTGGGCAGTCTACAGCTTCTTATTTTTAGTTTTGTCAGCACTATAATGGTATCCGGTTACTTCAGTTAATACTAATCAATTTATTTATCCTTTGTGTTATTATCCACTTTCTTGCAAGATGCTTTATTTTATAGAAGAGGAGCCATTTGGATATATCATCTCTGTATTTTCACTGTTTTATATGTCACCATTTCCCCCCATTTTCTGAGAAGCAAATCAATCTTCTGACTTGTTAATGTGCAGAATGACAGGCCAATGGTGAGAATCAAGTCAATGATATCATGCATTAAAAAAAAGAAATAAAATGAAAAAGCTTAAATCGTTTAATGCTAAAACACCTATCAATTCACCCCCAGTAGATCTTTATGAGATAAATGGTTAGGAAATAAACATGTTTCTGATTAAAGTATAACTTGGAATTAGACTACTTAGGAAAAAAAGTGAATTCAGTGTTAAGCTATTTTCTTATTTTTCTCCATCATAGATAGAGGAGAAATCTGAGGGATCCTTTAGAGAAATGAATTTTTTTAGAATGAGGAGTGCAAAAGCTTGCCACCTGTAACTAAGACCTCTCTTGGCTGCAGGGTAGATCCAGTTCAACAGCTAACCCTTGCAGCAGCTATATCCCTTTCCATGCCTGAGGAGGCACTGCAAAGATGGAGCCTGTCTTGTTTAACCAGGAACTGTCCTAGAAAGGGTGGAAAAGAGACAAGGGCAAAATATAGCCAGAAAATAGACCCAGATTTTGTTGAGAACTTTTATTTCCTTTTTAGAGTTTATCTCACACAAAAACACATCCAACACAAATATTGGGGCTTTAGTTTTTTAAAGTTAATTTTTTGCTTATTTGTATGTTCTTTTGCCCTAGTAAATGATACATTATATTCAGGAAGAAAGATCTTCAAATTAAAGGTCAATTAGACATACATATTGTTTGCCTGAGTATCTGTATGTGTCATTAACTATATATATATATAATATTTTATTGTTGAAAGTGTACAGATGTCCTCTTTCTTTCCTCCTTTCCTGCCCTCTCCCAGGCCTTCCCAGCACTATTGTTTGCTCATGGGCTATGCATATATGTATATAAGTCCTTTGGTTAATCTCTTCCCACCACCCCACCCTTTTCCCTCTGAAATAGTTGGGGAGTATTATGCTAAATGAAATAAGCCTGATAAGTATCACATGATCTCATTCATATATGGAATCTAATGAACAAAATAAACTGATGAACATAACAGATCCAGAAACATTGAAACATACCTCTTCCTCTTATATTTTTAGAAAATATAATATAAAATGCACTGTGCACATTAAATAAAATACTGATGATTTAATACTTCCTAAATGATGTTTCTCCTACTATTTTACCTCTCTATGTAATAACCTTAGTCTTGTCAAGCTTTAATACTGAATGCAGCTCCTGGGATGTAGCTCCCTCCATCCTTTTTTAATTAATAGCTGAGACTTTGAAAAGTAGAATCTGCATATAAGAGCCAATGACTATGACTTAAACAAACATCAGACACTTAGTAATTAAGAAAAATCTCCCTGCAAATATGAGGGGTTTCTGGACTAACTTTGCATTAAGATATGGGAGCTTACTTTATTGTCTCCTTCCCATTTGTGCACCAATTAGAACTCTGGGAAATTAATATGACAAGGGTAAGCATCAACTGAGATAGCCTCTTCCTGCCTTCTCAGCTAGCAATAAGGTACTTGAATACTATTTGCCCCACATTTACATACTGAGA